AAACCCAGACACCTGACAACCCTACCCCCCCCCCAGCCACGGCTGCTCCATGTTGGGGCCGGAGGATGGTCTCTCCCTGGACTGCGGCAGTATCAGGGCTCCCCACTGCAGCCCCTGCGCAAGGCCCAATAGGCAGCCTGGCAGCATCTTTGAAACCTTCCCCCGCCACCCTGTGCAGCCACACAGGCACTGGGTACTTCAGCGAAAGGAACCCAAGAAAAAAGCCTTTCCCCTTCATAAGCTTTTCTTAAAGATTGCAGGTTTCACTGACCTGCCCCCCCACCCTGCCCCACAGTGCCCCCTAGTGCCGCCCTGGGGCATTGGGCTAGCCCTGCCTGCAAGGGGAGAGCGCCCCCTGCTAGGCCTTTCCCCACTCCCTGCCCCACAGCACCCCCTAGCGCCGCCTTGGGGCATTGGGCCAGCCCTGCCTGCCAGGGGAAAGTGACCCCTGCTGAGCCTTGCCCCCCTCCCTGCAGCACAGCGTCCCCCAGAATGCATGACACCTGCTCATCCATCTTGTTCCACCCTCGTGGGGCGAGAAGAATGACGAGGCTTCCTGCTTGCAAACTTCCTTTCACAAATGTTTATTGAAGCAGGGAGAGAAATTTGCATAGACACAGAGATCTTGGAAGCAAATCATTTTGTGAGGAAGCTGCAAAGCTGGTGACAGTTTTCCAGGCTGGAGAACTTTGTCTTGCAGTCAGTAGGGTTCAGAGTGAACAGCCCTCCTCTACCAATTAATCACACCATGGATCTATTAAGCACTCAGCAGATGCAGTGAGCCAGGAAGATGCTTTAATCCTGGAAATAAGGGAAATTCACCCTTTTTAGTGCCGCCTGAATGCAATGCTATCTCCCTGAGTCTGCTGACAGCCAGAATCACTTCCCTGTGGTACGTTCTTCGGGGTGTTAACTGTGAATCCAGGTGATAGATCAGCACTGCTGCTGATCATCTGAGAAGGAACATCCAGCTGGATTGTGGGTAGGATTTGGGTATTCCTGATGAGATCATTAGTGCCAAAGCTACTGGGTAGTTCTGGGCAGCAAAGGAAATGAGAATCAGAGAACAGCCCCCTCCCATCAGAGTGTGAGAACCCCACCCATCTCTGGGGTGCCTTCAGGTTTCTGCACAGGGTTAACTCTAAAGCCACAATAGGACAGGGCCTGGCATTTGCTCCTGCCAATCACTTTTTGGCTGCATGCACTCGACAGATCATTGCGCTGTATTTCCTGAGTGGATGGATAGCTTGGGTGGCAAATTGGGCTCCTCTGTTTGCACGTGTCGGGTGGCGCGATGCACTTCACACATGCTTTGGTTGATTGGTTGCAATGGCTACACCTATTTATTAATTGGGTGGACGGCTATGTTGATTTTGTGGTTGGACCGCCTACACCTATTGGTTAGGTGGATGGATCGGTGGATACGTTGCTTGAGTGCATTGTTGCACTCGCTTTGAATGTTCGTTGGTTGGATGGCTGTATGGACAGACAAACACCTATTGGTTAGGTGGATGGATCGGTGGATACGTTGCTTGAGTGCATTGTTGCACTCGCTTTGAATGTTCGTTGGTTGGATAGCTGGATGGATGGACAAACCATTGGATGTCGGATTGGTTTCAGAGATTTGCTAGAAGCTCCTGATACAGTGGTTGATTAGATGAATACACTGCATGCATTGTAGAGTTTGTTTGCATGCAGATGTTCCATGTATTGGTCACATTCGTTGGTTGGTTGGAGAGACAGCTTGGATGCACTGCATACCTGTATTGACCAGAGGGATGGATATACAGAATTGATGCGCTGCACTCATGGGTTGGTTGAATGTACTGGATATACATATTGGATGGATAATGGAAGGCCGGATTGCTTTTAGGGATGTGAACGACTAGTTGACTATCTAATAAGCAAATGCTTATCGGATAGTCGACAGGTGAGTTGACTAGTCAGTTACCCCCCTTGTTGCCTCCATCAGAAAGAGGCAGCAAGGGGGGGGGAAGAGGAGAGGGTGCATCTAAGTGGCAGCGCTGCATGGACCCCAGGGTCACCTGGAGATTCTCCTTCTGACTCTGGCCTCTATGCGGCGCTGCTGCTTTGCAATGCCACTTGGAGCATGGGCCAGCGAATCCCCCACTGGCCCCATGCTCCCCACAGCACTGTTGCTACACTTCAAAGGCAGAAGTGCCCTTATCGACTAAACAAATAGTCGATGCAAATTGCATTGTCTGTTCAATTAGCCAAATAATTGAAATTGTACATCCCTAGTTGCTTTGATTGGTTGAACACATTGATATATACGTAGGAAAGAGACATTCATGGTTAGTTATATGCACAGGATACATTACTTGCTTGGTTGTTCTTCACTGTCTAAATCTGTTGAAAGCACTGGATACAATGGTTGGTTGGCTGGCTGGATAGAGATGTTGGATGTAGGGGATGCGTACATGAGTGGATTAGATGGTAGCTTGGAGGAATTTGATACAGTCTTTGGTTTATTGGATGCAGTGGATACAAACATTGGCTGGCTGGATGGCTTGTTGGCAATTGGTTGGAGAAAGTCCATAGATGTCTTGGATAGATACATTGGTTGGATGGATGGATGGATGGATGGATGGATGGATTGGATACATATGGTGGTTGGGTGGGTAGTTAGTTGGCTAATTGGAAACAGTCCATAGATGTATTAGATAGATACCTTGGTTGGTTGGTTGGATGCATAGCTTGCATACATTGAATACAACAAGTAATTGGTTGGTTGGAGACAATGCATGAATGTACCAGATAGATACATTGGTTGGTTGGTTGGTTGGTTGGAGACAGTCCATGGATGTATTGGATAGCTTGGTTGGTTGGTTGGTTGGTTGGTTGGTTGGTTGGTTGGTTGGTTGGTTGGTTGGTTGGTTGGTTGGTTGGTTGGTTGGTTGGTTGGTTGGTTGGTTGGTTGGTTGGTTGGTTGGTTGGTTGGTTGGTTGGTTGGTTGGTTGGTTGGTTGGTTGGTTGGTTGGTTGGTTGGTTGGTTGGTTGGTTGGTTGGTTGGTTGGTTGGTTGGTTGGTTGGTTGGATGAATAGCTTGCATACATTGAATACATGAAGTGATTGGTTGGTTGGGGACAATGCATGAATGTACTAGATAGATACATTGGTTGGTTGGACACAGTCCATGGATGTATTGGATAGCTACGTTGGTTGGATGGTTGGTTGGTTGGTTGGTTGGTTGGTTGGTTGGTTGGTTGGTTGGTTGGTTGGTTGGTTGGTTGGATGAATAGCTTGCATACATTGAATACATGAAGTGATTGGTTGGCAGGAGACAATGCATGAAATACCGGAGAGATACATTGGTTGGTTGGTTGGTTGGAGACAGTCCATGGATATACTGGATAGCTACGTTGGTTGATTGGCTGGATGAATAGCTTGCATACATTGAAAACATGAAGTGATTGATTGGCTGGAGTCAGTGCCTGGATGCACTGGTTTGACAGAGCAGGATGAGGCAGTTAATGGTGGGATGTTTTTCCAGAGGGATCTCTGTGAAGGTGACAGGTCCAAAGGAAAGGAGGCTGTTCTGGCCTTAGAAGACACCAATTTCCAAGCAGGAATAAGAGCTGAAGTCCAGTAGCAGAGTAGGTGCTAGGAATGCTTTGGGGCACATCCCATGCTCCTCTTCAATTCTCCACCCACAGCATTACTACAAGGGGTACTTCCCCATGGCTATGGCGTGTTGGGGTTGGGGCTGGGAAACGTACTCAGAACAGCTCGGGCCCCCAAGGTGGGGCCCACAGCGCAGGCTGTAGCTGAGCCTGATGTGGCCACGTTTCAGGTAGCACTCCCTATGGTGGGGCCTCCCGGCTGACAGTCGGATGATGCAGGACCCCAGATGATCATCCCTCAACAGGTCTTTGTCCCAGACCTCGACTTTGACGTGACTGGCGGCGGTCACATGGACGGACCCAAAGTCCATAACTTTATTCCAGACGGGATTGTCGTTATTGCCGATGATCCAAGTCCGGATCTCCCTGCCCACGAAGAAGACCTTGACGTAGGCATCTGTCTTGGAGAAGACGTCGCCCCGCAGGCCGTTGGCCCGCTCCACCGTTACCTGCAGCTTTCCAAGGCCCCGGCGCTGCGAGCAGCCAAAGGGGTTGATAAAGCCATCCCCAGGGGAGGAGGTGCAGGAGCAGGGGTCAAGGGCACTGGGCCAGGCCCCCCGGGGGCAGCTCTGGATGCAATTCCTCCGCAAGGCCCTCTTCAGGATGTACTCGCTCACCGCCTGCCTCAGCGCCTCCCGCTTGGCGGAGTCCTGCTGCACCAAGGTGTGAATCGGCCTCAGGGAGTAGGTGAGTAGCCCGGGGAGGGACTTCACAGTTTTCACCCACTCCGAGAAGGCCCCCGCGGAAGTGCTGGAGAACAGCAGGTCGGCTGTGTTCTGCCCTCCCTCCACCTCCACCAGGCGCTCCCGGTAGTGCTCATGGAAACTCTGCTGGGAGCTCATCGCCGTCCTCTGTTTCTTACATTTGCTGAAGCCGGCCCCTAATGAAATCAGCTTGAGGTTGAGGGATGCCTCCATGCTCAGACAATCCTCGATCTCCTCCACGGACAGGTCCTCCAGCGCCGCCTGGCAGACCCGCACGGCGGTCACGTCCCGCGCCCGGCCCCCCAAGTACACCTGGGACACGTAGTGGGTGCCATAGGTCTGGATCAGGTGATGGTACTCGGGCTGGGAGGTCTTGTTGTACGCGCTGGGGAGGTTCTTCACCGTCTGGATGAAATCCTGGGCGAGCGGAGGTGTCCTGCTGACCCGGAACCTGCCCCCAGACATGTATGGGACAATTAGAACATCCTCCATGGACACCCACGCATGCCAAAGATCCCGTTCCCAGCCCCCCGAGCCGTCCCAGGCCCCACCCTGGGCCGGATCTGAGCCTGGGTGGTTGTGACTCTGGTGTGATCCCAACAGTGGCCCAGGGCCAGAGAACAAGGGCTCCTGGTGATGAGTTTCAGCTGGCTGACCTGGTCAGTGTCCCTCCCCTTATCCACGTCATCACCTGCACCTCAAAGGTGCCGTGCCAGCTGTGGAAAGCAAGGTCCTAACTCCCTGCTCGCGCTCTCAGTGCCAGGCTACTGAAAATCTCCCAGCACACCGACGGCTTGGGGACTCTGTTGTCGGTGTGCGTCTGCCAGGCAGGGCGAGAGGTACCCCGATAACGGGCTGTGGTTCTGTCCCTGGAAGGTACCCCCCCGATAACGGGCTGTGGTTCTGTCCCTGGAAGGTACCCCCCCGATAACGGGCTGTGGTTCTGTCCCTGGAAGGTACCCCCCCGATAACGGGCTGTGGTTCTGTCCCTGGAAGGTACCCCCCCGATAACGGGCTGTGGTTCTGTCCCTGGAAGGTACCCCCCCGATAACGGGCTGTGGTTCTGTCCCTGGAAGGTACCCCCCCGATAACGGGCTGTGGTTCTGTCCCTGGAAGGTACCCCCCCGATAACGGGCTGTGGTTCTGTCCCTGGAAGGTACCCCCCCGATAACGGGCTGTGGTTCTGTCCCTGGAAGGTACCCCCCCGATAACGGGCTGTGGTTCTGTCCCTGGAAGGTACCCCCCCGATAACGGGCTGTGGTTCTGTCCCTGGAAGGTACCCCCCCGATAACGGGCTGTGGTTCTGTCCCTGGAAGGTACCCCCCCGATAACGGGCTGTGGTTCTGTCCCTGGAAGGTACCCCCCCCATAACGGGCTGTGGTTCTGTCCCTGGAAGGTACCCCCCCGATAACGGGCTGTGGTTCTGTCCCTGGAAGGTACCCCCCCGATAACGGGCTGTGGTTCTGTCCCTGGAAGGTACCCCCCCGATAACGGGCTGTGGTTCTGTCCCTGGAAGGTACCCCCCCGATAACGGGCTGTGGTTCTGTCCCTGGAAGGTACCCCCCCGATAACGGGCTGTGGTTCTGTCCCTGGAAGGTACCCCCCCGATAACGGGCTGTGGTTCTGTCCCTGGAAGGTACCCCCCCGATAACGGGCTGTGGTTCTGTCCCTGGAAGGTACCCCCCCGATAACGGGCTGTGGTTCTGTCCCTGGAAGGTACCCCCCCGATAACGGGCTGTGGTTCTGTCCCTGGAAGGTACCCCCCCGATAACGGGCTGTGGTTCTGTCCCTGGAAGGTACCCCCCCGATAACGGGCTGTGGTTCTGTCCCTGGAAGGTACCCCCCCGATAACGGGCTGTGGTTCTGTCCCTGGAAGGTACCCCCCCGATAACGGGCTGTGGTTCTGTCCCTGGAAGGTACCCCCCCCCCGATAAAGGACTGTGGTTCTGTGCCTGGAAGGTGTCTCCCAGGTGCAAGAGGAGACTGTGGGACTGCGAGAGGTGGTCAACACGGCCGGACCATCAAGGCAGCCCTGAGAGGCGAGTGCAGGGACAGATCGATTTGAATTTTGGCAAACCCCACGCAGGGGGACAAAGCGCCGTGGACTTTCCTCGGCCAGACGGCCCCATGTTGTAAGGAGAAGGGACAATAATTATTCTCCTTGGCCTCTGAGGATAGGACAAGCAACGGGCTTAAACTGCAGCAAGGGAGGTTCAGGTTGGACATTAGGAAAAAGCTCCTGTCTATCAGGGTGGCTAAACACTGGAATAAATTGCCCAGGGGGGTTGTGGAATCCCCATCTCTGGAGAGATTTAAGAGCTGGTTGGACACACGCCTGCCAGGGATGAGCTAGATGGTGCTAGACTGGACTTGATGGCTCTCAAGATCCCTTCCAGTTCTAGAGCTCTGTGGTTCTGTGTCACCCTCCTCACAGCCTGGACGGACTTAACTACTCAGCATTTCGCAAGAGAGGGGCCCAGGACCCCGTGTGATCTTTCACCTCTGATGACCAAGGACCTGAGCACATTGGGCTCGTGGGAGATGTCGGCCGGAGGGGTGGTCAGCCTTCTGGCTGGAAGGGAGGTGGAGGAGGAAACTGCCTGGTAGCTTGTTTTGTTACGCCTTAGCCACCCAAAAACTTTTAGTTGGTGGTCAGCGCTTTGTCCTTATCCCTCATGCCGGACGTCCCTCGCCCTCCTCTCTCTGTTAGCTCAGGGCAAATCCAATCCTGAGCTGTTCCTCTGCTAAAGGAACGGGCCACAAGAAAGCCGGACATTGCAAAGCCCCAGTTTGGGGGACACTCGGGGCTGGGAGCATGTTCGGCTCCTCGACAAAAAGGACATCACTGAAAACTGTTCCTCTGTCGCCTCTCCCCAGAGCCAGCTGCATCTCAGGGCCGGGTGAGCCCTTTCTGTGTCGGGAGGGGTGCCGGCTGGGGCTTACCTGTAGTGATGGCAGGAAACCTCGTGGCTGATGAAGGAGTATTTGTCCTGCCGGGACTTCTGCATGACGAATTGGGCCAGTTTGGAGTGCGAGCCGGCCAGCCCGAGCCAGACACCGACGGGCGGCACAGACACCGTCAGCCCCACCTTCCAGTTGTTCAGGATCACGGCCGACGACGACTCCATCATGCCCATCGCCGACTTCTGCACCGAGCTGCTGAGCCTCCAGTCAATTCCCTCCCCCAGCAGGTTGTGCCCTGGCACGAAGGTCGCATTTGTGCATGCAGCAGCCGTGCCCGTTTGGCAGTCGGGGGAGACCCCAGGGAGGAGAACTACGAAGAGGAGGAGGAGGAAGGCTCTAAGATCGGGCATGGCTGGGGCGACAGGCACAGGAAAGGGCGTCTGTTTCTGAAACCCACTGCAGAGAGAGACATTCCCTCCCCCAGCAGGTTGTGCCCTGGCACGAAGGTCGCATTTGTGCATGCAGCAGCCGTGCCCGTTTGGCAGTCGGGGGAGACCCCAGGGAGGAGAACTACGAAGAGGAGGAGGAGGAAGGCTCTAAGATCGGGCATGGCTGGGGCGACAGGCACAGGAAAGGGCGTCTGTTTCTGAAACCCACTGCAGAGAGAGACATAAAGAGATCCTGCATTAATCATAATCCTGTAGCAGGCAGTTCCGCTGGTTAACTTGGCTATCTGGAGAGAGGTCAAGCAAGCGGCCTCCAATACCTCTGTTTCCGTCAATCACAATGTCTATCACATCTGCTGCGTGTCTGGGATCCAGGAACCTGTTGGCTTTATGCAGTTGAAACAGCTCCCCAATTTCACATTGGAACACCCCTTTGTACATTGGCATAACCCCTCCCCTTCCTGTTGCATTAGTAATAGCTGTCACTCACCACCAGGGGAGAAGATGCTCATCTCCCTTTTCATTCATGGGCCGCTGCTCTAGCCGGGTCTGACCTCTAGGGGGCGGTGTATTGCCACACAAATTCCCATACTTGTCAGACTTTAGCTGGCTGTGACTGGCCTCTGGGCCCCCTGGAGACAAGGGGAGTGGTGGATTTGACCACCGACTGAGGATCATGTTCCTGCAGCCCAATCACAGCTGGTTCCGACTCGTGGGCTGGAGGCTGAACCCTTGTTGTCCCCCGCTAGGCCTATGCACACCAGAAAGCCTTTTCTAAGAGAAGCCAGAATGGGAAGCATCTGACTTGTATCCCTTTCAAACACATGGATTGAAACCTGTTGGGATGCTAACTCTGGCTCTCCCATTCTCCACAGACAGGTCCTTCAGAATCCAGATGAACCCTTGGCCCTATTCCTATCCTGCACTGGTGAGTTCCACAGGTTGTGCAGCAATTTCAGGAGAACCGTTTCAACCTGCCCTTAGCGCAATGGGTACTATTCGCATCTCTGCTGCAGACCCTTGTGTGATGTTGGACAAGCCTGTGAGTCTCTCTGGGCCTCAGTTTGCCCCTCAGTAAAATGGGGAGAATGATCATGCATTTGTTGGGGTAGGACGTCAGCTCTTTGGGACAGGGAATTTCTCTCCCCCCTGTCTGGGTAGCACCCGTCACAATAGTGTCTTGAGCTCAGTCAGTGGGATCTAGGCTGCATCTGGTATGACAGGCTCTGATCTTACTTCAGGCTTCTAGCCTTCCCGTACCCCCCCACCCCAACAGGTCCCCTTCCCGGCCTCCCTCTCCCCTCCTCCAGCTCCAGTCACAGCATCTCTGCCCTCCCCCGTCTGGCCCCGGCTCCTGCCCCATCTGTCTCTTCCATTATAGCTCCCCCCTGGTCTGGCTTTTATCCCCTCGGTGCTGGGATCAGACGCTTCCTCCTCCACGCTGTGGGGGCTGGAGGGTCACTGAACCCCCGCAAGCAGCAGTGAGACACCCACCCACCCCCCACACTCTCCCTTCTGCTGCCTGCCCCCGCCCCACCCCGGAGGAGCAATGCCAGGCCAAGCCCTACTCTGGGCATGCTCAGGGCAGCAAATTTGTTGAGTTTTTGGCTTTCGCCAAGTCCCCTCTGGGCACGAGCAGATGAGGCTTTGCCAGCGG